AAAATTACCAAAAATTGAATTATAATTTTTAATGAATGATCTACATTGTACATGTACACATATTATATGCATTAACTGTCTTATTGCCAAATCAAAACTACACATGTACATGTACCAAATGCATTTCTATAGAAAATTGATTATAAATCATACATGTTACATACATAGAACATTATAATACAGTTCTCATACCTTCCTCAGTGAGTTCTGTAGTTGACTCCATCTTTGATTGTATCATTGTTTCCTCATATTGTGAATAAGCATCAAATATTTGTGTAAAATCACGGACTGTGATGACAGAGTGTATCTCCTCATTGTATATGTCCCTACCCTAATTAAAGAGCACCCACTGTAAATATTCAACATTTAGTAATTATTAGTGTTTTATGTACATGTACGCGTGTATGTATACAAAGTACTGAGCTAGTAATATCCTATGTAGAAATTTTGAGCTGTTTCTGACAAATAATTTTGTGAGTTATGAGTATATCAAAAACAAGCTAAACTTTGGAAGAAAAGCAAAGGCTATAGCCCATGGTTTTTTCAATAATAGCTCTAAAATCACCCCCAATTTTTATTACATTTTCTGATACATATTGATGTCCTTATGCTATGTAGAAAGTTTGAGCTAATTCCGACTTTAAACTTTCAAGTTATGGCCATTTTAAGAAATTTGCCAAAATCTGAAAAATACCTAAGGCTATAGCCCATGCTTTTTTCCAAAAATGGCCAAAAAATCACCCCCAATTTTTATTACATTTTCTGTTACATATTGACGTCCTTATGCTATGTAGAAAGTTTGAGCTGATTCCAACAAATAATTTTCAAGTTATGAGCATTTAAAAGAAATATAAACTTACATGTACTGAATGACAGTATGTGTATAATGTAACTTACTCTCTCAAATCTACCAGCTCTAATGTGATAGTCTGCTAGTGAGCACCACAACTGCCCCACCATGTTAGTGAACCGTTTTATTCCTCCTCTAATGATAGCCTCTACATTTAAACTAGTCACCTAAAGAAAATAAAAATAAAATAAAAGTATAATTAATAAATCAGTGAGTACTTACTTTGTCAGGGTTCTTAGCTATCAGCTCACACAGCTCGTACCACAATTGGAACTTGGACTTACCTTCCTTTGAGAAGAATGACTCCTAATAAAAAAATATAATTAAAAAAAAATAAAGTAGAATAAAGAGAGAGAGAGACAAAGACGTTACTTTATTGACGATTTCAGCTAGTTTAATGGCAGCTTCATCAAGTCTATCTATTGATATCAAATAATCAACAAACTCTTCACTATTCTCTGGACAAAGCTACATAAAAACAACAACAACAATAATTATTATCATTACACTAACTCCACACCCACCTGTATATATCGTCTATAAACTCTAACTGTTGTCTCTGGAAGGTTGTGCAGTCTGAGGATTTTGATGTAGAGCGGCCATATTATTTTATGTTGGGTGAGAGGGAGTGACCGTAATGATCTATCAAATGTCCTTCTGGTCCTAGTGATCTTATTTTGTTCAGTTAAGAACTGACAGTAATCCATCCATATACGAGGCATCTGGAGGAGAGAGAGAGAGAGATGAAAGAGAGGGGGGGGGGAAAGAAGATTTT